GGAAAGGCATCCCTGCGGGGAACAACACATACGGCGGCTCAGAGGCCCGGTGAGCCTTGGGCAGTGCCTTCCACCACAGCGCTGGGCTGCAAGGAATGAGGGGAGGAAACCGGGAGACAGAGCACGAGGGGCTTGGAACCCCTCAGACAAAGGAGGCTCTCACGTGACAAGGTGGGGCGGGGGTCCCGGAGGGGAAGCGGCAGGAGGTGCAGCGAATGGCGGCGGCGTGTGGCAGATCCGTGTGACCTTAGAGGGCCCGGAGCAGCAGCCCGGAACACAGCCGGTCTCGGGACAGGCTGCTCACCCCCCACCCCGACCCGCACGGCCCCTGGGGCAGAATGGCGGGAAGGAGAAGAGAAGAGAAACCGCAGCCGTCCCAGCCAGTCACGGCGCCTTCCGACCTCCGCACAGCGGAGCTGGGCACAGCCCCTCCGCCCTCCAGTGACACCGGCTGCCAGGTTCCTCCTGGCCCTGGCCCCGGTCCATCCTGTCCTCTCTGGGCTGCAGTTTCCATGCACCCTGAATGCACTTCAACCCTCCCTGAAGTCCCACCCAACCCAGGGGGACAGATGCCACCACCCTTTCTCCTTCTGTCTTCTCTCTGCAGATGACGCTACAGTGAACCCCTCTGAGGGAGGAGACGGTGAGCACAGGGCCCCTGCAACCCCATCAGACCCCCGCTTCTGTGGGGGTGAGAGGGACACAGCCATGTGCCTGTCCCAGGCCTGGTGCTGGATGGGACAGCGGGGGACTGGGCAGGAACCTGTCTACACGGGTGGGAACACGCTCTGCCCTGAAATGGGGGGCAGGAGGGCGGGGCCGAGCCAGGGGACCCGTGGCCATGAGGTCTGGAGGTCAGAGGAGGAGGCCAGGTCTCCACACCCAGGTTGCAGAGAGCACCAGAGGGCAGCTCCCTGGCCTCGCTGTGGTGACAGTGACCGGCACTGCTGTTCTGGCAGCTCACGCGTCCCGAGGGCTTCCAGGAGTGGAATGACCTCATTTGACTTGGCATCCACCCCACCAGGCCGTGCTGATTGTTCCCCTCGCTCTCCAGAAGTGACCACGGTGACCCCTGAAGGTCACAGAATGCCCCTGAGGTTACCACACTGTGGATCTGTACCAGTCAGCTCCTAGGTCCCAAGCACCGCAGCCCGGGGTCGCGGGGAATTTCCCGGGGCCCTCAGACTTCCGGGGCCCCATGGCGTGATTCCAAAGCACAGCCACGGGCCGAGGACAGTGACCCCTACCCAGACGCCACCCCACACCTGGGAGGTCCCAGGGGCACTAGCTCTGGGGCTGGGTCAGCACCCGCATCCTCAGCCCCTGCCTGCCCTTGTGGTCTCCACAGGCCTCCAGCACAACCTGTCCCCCGACTCCAAGGCCCGCCCTGTGCACCTGGGCACCATCGTGGGCATCGTGCTGGCCGTCCTGCTGGTGGCGGCCGCCATCCTGGGCGGGATTTACATCAGCGGGCACTCTAACTCCAACGCCGTGCTCTTCCTCATGGAGGTCAGTGTGGGCTGGGCCGGGGCCGCTGCTCCTGGGCCACTCTGTCCCCGCCTCGCTGTGAACCAACCCATCCCACGCGGCCCGGGCCTCCTGTCCCTGTGGAGCAGCCGTCAGCTTCCATCCCCTCTTTGTGAAACTTAGGAAAGGCCCCAGAGGAACTAAGAAGGCCAAAATTCCATCAACTGCCCACTTTGCGGCCGGGCAGCCTTTCCCTGGTGATTTGTGGTCTCTTGGGCCCAACTGCAGGCTCAGGATTATTCAGAGCCATAGAGCAGCCAGCCTCTTCTGCTGCTTCTGTGGGACAAGAGGGCTGTGTGCTGGGGGTGGGGGGATGAGCGGAGGATGCTGCCATTTTGAACGCCCCAGGATCCCGAGGGGCCAGCTGAGGTGCGGCCTGGGAAATCAGGCTCAGCTCCCTGGACCCAGCACATGCCGCCCAGTCCTCACTTCCGGCAGGCTCCTTAGCTTCCGGTGGACCCAGTTCAGTCTGCAGAACTCAGCTGAGAGGAGCTGGGCGTGGGGGCGCACACCTGGAATCAGGGCAGTCAGGAGGCTGAGGGAGGGGAGTCACCACGAGTCTGAGGCCAGCCTGGACTACGCAGCGACACCCTGTCACCAAAAAATACCAAAAAAGAAAGAAAAGAAAAAAAAAAGATTCAGTTAAGTGCACACAATGACCCAGCATTTTTCCTAACAGCTGAAGATACAAATAGGAAAAAGATCTTGCCCTCCCTTCCAGGGACTCAGTCCAGGGCCACCATGTGGCACAGCAGAGGGAGGCCACAGCAGCCACACAGGTCACAAGCCCCCTGGCCTCGTTACCCACAGGCCTGGGGGTTTCCCTCCATTTTTAAAAACTGCCCGATTTCCCATGGGTCCCAGCCAGTCTCAGGATTCGGAGCTTCCTGGGTGTCACCTGGAAACTGCAGCCCCCACCACAGGGACTCTGGCGAGGGAGCCTGAGGTGGACCCCGAGCTGCGTCTCTCTCAGTAGCCGATCGTCCGGGTGACCCTGACACCCGGGCTTTCCACGGTCTTGGGGAAAGACGTGGGTCTGAGTTGCTGAGTTCTCCAGGCCGGCAGCGAGGGATAAAAGATCCTTTTGCGTGGCCCTGACTGTCACCTGGCTGCCGGTGGGAAGGACAGTCCAGGGGCCCCGCGTGCCTCGGGCGGGACCCATGGAGTGGTTGCCCTGGTGACTTTGCCCCTTGTCCCACAGCAGAGACCCCACCGCTGGCCGGCTATGAAGTTCCGCAACCACCCCAACCACGCCAGCTACACGGAGGTGGAGCCCGTGGGCCGTGAGAAGGACGGCTTCCTGGAGGCCGAGCAGTGCTGAGGGCCGCGCGTGGGGCCTGGGATGGCCTCCTGCGATCTGCACTGTGGCCGGGGGACAGTGGCTGCGGAGGCTGGGCCCTCACCCCCGCCAGGAGGGGCAGAGAGCAGCCCCATGGTGGGGTTTTTAGAGCAACTTCATCTCCCGTGGGCCTTTCCTGGGCCTCCCACCCGCAGCCCCCTGACTAAAGCCTGGGCTGGGTTCCCGGGCCCACAGACTCCGGAGCTGGTCCTCTGCAGCCTGCCGGCCTTGTGGCTCCCTTCCCGGGACATGCTGGTGCCTGGCACTTCCTGAGGTGGACTTTGCCTCCTCTGAAGACAGATGGGCAGGGCTCCAGGACACCCCTACCCCACCCCGCTCACTGGGGACTCTGCCAAACCTTGACCTGGAAAGTGGCTGCAGGCAGCGTTGTGGGCTGGGAGCTCGGGCTCCCAAACTTAGCCTGGTTTTTGGAGGAGCCCTGTCCCAGGGAGGAGCCAGGCAGCCTCTAGAGCTCGGCCTCATTGGGTAGAGAGTCTCAGCCGCAGATAAACGCTGAGTCAGTCTCTACACAGTCACGGGCTTAGTGGGCCTCACCCTGAGGGAGGAATCAGTTCAGAAATGAGGCAGAGTGGTGGGGACACTGGTAACCGCTGCACAGTCAGACACGAGCTGGACCCTGCTCTCTTCCACACCACAGGAGACGGAGCTGCAGGTGTGAAGTCAGGATTTTCAGATGAGGAAAGATCCTGCCGCACAGAAGGGCTCTTTGCCAGCTCTGCAAGACGGAAAGGTCTGTGTTGGCTCTCACACAGGGCACCCGGTGCTGCAATCCCAGCACCGAGGAAGCTGAGGCAGGAAGACTGCAAGTGCTAATCCCACCAGGGAAATTTAGTGAGACCTTATCTCGAAAGTCTTTGAAAGGGGAGCCGAGGATGGCGCTCAGTGGTAGGGTGCTCCAGGACTGAAAATGTGTGTGACCCAGCATCCAGACATCCCGGCCGTCTGCTCCCATTCCCGCCTGCATAGCCCTGTGTGTCTGCACGGTCACAGCACGGTGCCCCTTGTCCCCTCCCAAACTCCTGCCCACTTCATCCCATCTTCAGGGTTCTGGAAGAAAGGGGCAGGGATGCCAGGAGGCCTCTGCCAACCACCCCAGGCGGAAGAAAATCAGAGCTGGGCGTGGTGGTGCATGCCTGTAATCCCAGCACTTGGGAGGCTGAGGCAGGAAGATTTCTGAGATTTTAAAGCCAGCCTGGACTATATAGCTATACAGAGACTCAGAAAAACCAATAAAAGGGGAAAAAAAAAGTTTGAGATTCATTGGCCCTGGTCCAGGCAAGCCCAGATGGAGCATCATGGCTGCTTCGGGAGGGGAACTGTTGGGCAGCAGGCGGCCTGTTTATTTACAGCAAAAAGAACTAAAGCTGTGTCACCAACAGGCCTGGATTTCTCAAGCCAGGCAGTTGGACTCAGGCTCCCAAGACGCAGGGTTGACATGGGTGTTGGGGGTGCCTGTCCGAGCTGGCTGAGCAGCTAAGAGGCAGAGTGCACATCACCTACAGCGCACCGCCCACCAGGCTACCCGGCCTTCCCACCAAGCGCATCCAGGCTCCAGGGAAGGTGTTGCCTGGAGCTGCATCACTCAGGGGCTCTGGGCGTGGAGGGGTGAAAGTCCACTCTGTGGGGACTATACAGGAAGTTTTCCTGCTGATGGGAGAGCGCAGATGCCTTAGGAAGGCCGATTTGTCCCAGGACCCTTATGCCTGTCATCCTGCCAATCAAGAGGCTGAGGCAGGAGGATTTCCATGAGTTGAGGCTGGCTCTGGCTACACAGGGAGTTCAAGGTGAGCCTGGACTACATGGAGAGACCGTCTCAAAAAAACAGAGAGGGATCCACAAGATGTGATTATGGAGAAGACTTCAGAGGCTGGTACAGGCGGACATCAGAATGAGGCCCTGAGTACAGCCTGGTCCCCTTTATTGGCCTTTGCTAGATTTGTGTCCCGGCCTTGTAAGGCCTGGGGTTTCTGATTCCAGAACATGGGCCACGAGCCCAGCTGTCAACCCCAAAGTCCAGGAGCACCCCTGGCACAGCAGTCAGGCTTTGCAGATTCACAGGAAGGCTTGTGAGTGGCCACCTCCCACGGGCCATGCTCACGAGTCACCCACTGGCCCCAGCAGACCTCGTGGCTTGTTTCAGTTTGGGGCTGGAGCCTGAGGTCCAAAATGTCCTTTGGTCACTACGAGGACTTCCTGATGGACCTGGGAATTTTTGTTTGTATTTTTACCAGGGCTGCTCTGTGCACATGTATTTTATTGCTAAGAATCACTAAATTAAGACAGCAAAAGCTGCAGCCACCCGTGCGGTCCCAAAAGCACAGCTGCCCTGCCCGTCCTGCCGTGGACGAGGCCGAGCCTCCCTCCCAGGCTGTGGCACAGACTCCGACTGGCCCAAAGCCTGAAGCCGCGCTCAGGGACCGCCCTGGAAGAGCCAGTGTCACAGACAAAAAAAACCCCCTCAGTGCAGCTTGGGCTTGGCACATCTAAAAGGCCTGGGGACTGAAGTTATCCTCGCTGTGTGCCCCTAAATGCAGTGTATCCTGTGACTAGCGCTCACAATAAAAAGAAACAGACTTTTACGACCTCTGCTATGTCCAAAATAAAACATAAAGCCGGGTGGTGGCGGTGCCTGTAATCCTAGCACTTAGGAGGCTGAGGCAGGAGAGGGACTGTGAGTTGAGGACCAGCCTGGGCTACATCGCGAGACCCTCTCTCCAAACGCCATCGTAACAATACTGAGATGAGACAAAATGCACAGGGTTTGGGGTCTGCAGACCGTGGTCCCCGTAACTGCTCCTCCAGCCCCAGCTCCAAGGGTAGTGCCTGCTGTTCGCTTGGGTTGGGGGTGTGTACAGGTCCTGGAGCGGGGCCTTGTGCGTGTCTAATCCACCATCAGAGACTTAAAATGAAAGAGCACAAGCCCATGCTGTCACTTGCCTCCTGGAGCTTTTCTTCGCCCAGCCTGGGCAGCCTCACTGTGTTTTTATCTCGTGGTGTTGTTTTCCCCCCTCACTAAACAGGGTTTAGCAAGCCAAAATGGAGAGGAAATTTTGAACTCCTCACAGCCCAAATCAGCCATGCCAAATTTCAGGCTGCAAACAAGCCAGTTTCTAAATAAACACGCAGCTTTGGCTCAATAAAGAGGAAGGGGGGCTGCGGGAGCTTGGCCGGGAAGGGGCTGAGCCGCAGGGAGGCAGAAGGCCGGTGCTTCGGCCCGGAGGGGTGGGTGACCCGGCCTGTTTCTGCCCCGGTGAGGGTGGTGTAGACGAACCGGCTGGAGGTGGGACTCAGGAGGGCGCCGGGGTAAAGGCTAGAGGAAGAAGAGGGGCCACCAGCCTGGGAACTCCTCCTGTGAGGTCCATTGATGGAGGATCAGGTAACCAAGGAAGTGGGGGGGGCGGGGAAGGAGGGCATCGCGGAGCCGTTTTCTGGGACTTGATCCACTTTCTGAGTGAAATACTAGCTCGGGACCAGGGTGCCCAGGTCTAAACCCAATGAGAAAACCTCCCTGGGTAACAAGTTAGGTTCTGAGCATGGGCAGTGCTCTTCCGCACCCCTGCTGACCCCTGCCCTAATTAGCACGTCATTGACTATGCGGATTTGACCCCCGGGGGCTTTGGACACCAGGACAGTGGGGCCTGACTCAAGCCTCAGCCCTGACCTTCAACCCCACCCCAAGCCCTCAGGTTTAGAACCCTCAGCACCGAGCCCCCTCGGGACATGAGCTCTTCTCTGCCCAGGGGATTCTGGCTTTTCTCTTTCAGAGAAATCATCCACTGCTGCAGGTCTTGGAGTCCCGCTCAATTCTTTGGTAAGGACATCAAGAGCCTGGACCAGGGGCCAGGGGTTTAGCTCAGCGGTTCGGTGGCCTGCCTCGCAAGCGCAAGGACCCGAGTTCAATCCCCGGTACCAAAAACAAAAAGAACCTGGAGCAGGCTGGTAGCAGGACCCCCGCAGACACACTCACACAGCAACCTAGGCAGCGCATCTGGCCACGACCCCATGGGCGACCTCCCGTGTGCGGGGCCTCGTGCTCCTGATCATCCAGGATTTCTAGGCCCCAGGGCCACACCATCCCATCCCGCCAGCTGGAGAAGTAAGGTTAACAGCGTCCAGCACATGGCTGCAGCCTGGCAGGAAGGTGCTGTTCTGCTTTTCTGGCGAGGAAACAGGCACCATTTGGTGTCTGTTCATTTGCACGCATTTCCTAGGTGCCTGGCATTTGCCGGGCGCCATGAAACCATCAGCGCGTGACCCTCCGAGGTCGCCGGGAAGGGGCAGAGACAGTCCCTGGACCCGGGTCCTCACATTCCTCGGTGCTTGGAAGCAGGCGGCGCTCGGCAAGTGCTCAAGGCTTTCGGTGGCATCTTTATCACTTGGTTATGACAGGATGCATCTTCCTGTCACCTCAGGCTACAGACAGACACCACGACCTCCACTAGGAGGGGCTTCCTTGAGGTCCATCGGTTCCAGGCTGAGGGCCTGCACGTGCTGGCTTTCTGATTATGTGGCAAAAATGCACATATTAGCTGGGCTTGGTGGTGCACGCCTGTCATCACTCAGAAGGCTGAGGCAGGAGGATCGCCTTGAGTTCAAGGTCCACCTGGGCTATACAGGGTGAAACGAAATAAAAAGGAGTAGGAAGGAGGTTAGGAGCAGAAGGGGTGAGAAGGCATCGTGGGTGCCTCAGCCACCGAAACTGAGACCCTGGGAGCTCTGTGTTCGCTTGCTCTGGGGAGGAAGAACGGCTTCCCCTGCCTTAGGAAGTGGAGAAAAGCAAAGGAGACAAAAGCCCTTTCAGCCGAGGAGTGGGGCACAGGCTGCGTCCCCTCCGGCTGCAGGAGGACTTGGGGTCAGTGATCACAGTATGTCCCTTCCGTGCCGCACAGCAGAGGCTGGGAGTGGAGAGGATCCAAGGCCCTTGCACTGCCCTTAAAGTGTTCCTTGGACAAACACAAGACTGTTCTGTTTACCAGAAACGTTAGCAAGGAAAATAAATAACAGGACTATTGAGAAGTCTTTCAAAATTGAAGTTTAAACCGTAAGAGAAAACAAGAGGCCAAAAAAAAAAAAAAAAAAAAAAAAAAAAGATTGCAAAACTTCATGATCATTGCTCACCCCAGCTGCCCCTGAAGTCTTGTTTTCCACTTAACACGCCAGGGCTGAGGTGTGGTGCAGGGCAGAGCGCCGCCCTGCCGGGTGGGAGGCCCCGGGTTGGAGCCCCAGCGCGGGTGGGGAAGAAAAGCCCGCATTCCGTGATCCTGCATCTGTGCGCTTGAAGGGCAAGAACAGCACAAAGCCGCGTGGGATGGGCCGGGAGCCCTCGCAGTCAGGCCTGGACTTCTGGTCAGACCCCCACGCCTATGCGCTAGGCCCTAACGCCACACCCAGCTAGAAACCGACCTGATCCCCCACCCACAGGACCCGGACCCTTGGGCCTATAAGAGGGAAAAAGAAAAATTGACTCGAAAAGCCCATAACCCGAGGCTGGCCCCACTCAAGCGGGTGCCCCAACTCCTCCTCTCCCCACAACCAGGAAAGCAGCCCGCAGGGAGGTTCACTTCAAGAGTGGAAGAAGCAATTCGGTCCCCCTGAGCGGAACACACTTCTGTCTCAGGCCTCAAAATATTCCCACAGGGGGCCTGGTACAGTGGCGCAGGCCTGTAATCCCAGCACTTGGGAGGCTGAAGCAGGAGGATCACTGTGAGTTCGAGACCAGCCTGGGCTACACAGGGAGTTCCAGGTCAGTCTCAACTACACAGTGAGACCCTGTCTCAAAAAAAAAAAAATTCCCACAAGGGCTGGGGTTGCAGCTCAGCAGTGGAGTGCCTGCCTGCTAAGCACAAGAGCTGAATTTGAGTCCCAGTGCCCCCGCCCAAATTACATGGATAAGGTTTTAAGAAATAGAAACTCAGGGTCTGGGGATTTAGTTCAGTGGTGCCACGGCCTGTCTCAAAAGCACAAGGTTCCAAGTTCGATCCCCGGCACCAAAAACAAAGAGAGAGGGAAGGAGAGAGAGAGAGAGAGAGAGAGAGAGAGAGAGAGAGCAGGGCTGACACTGTCTTGTAATTGTAATCCCAGCATTCAGGACAGCTGAGGCAGGAGGGTGCTGTGAGTTTAGGATCAGCCTTAGTTACATAGCAAGCTACATAGCATACTGTGTCAGAAAAGAAAAA